ATGAATCTGTCCGAATCTATCGTAGGGAAAATAGTCTGTCTGTTAATGTTTCACATGAAACACTGATGATAGACATATTATTTGTTTAACTCAGTACATTACATTAACTAAACCGATTATCCAATTAATGTTAAATTTTTTTGAGTAAAGGAAGGCGTAATATAAAATACGCATAAAAAAATAAATTCAAAAGAATTTCTTACAGAATATGTTTCGGAGTTTAGAATTTTTTATAAATATTCGTGTGTTAATCATATTTCGTTAAAAATGTAAGGAATTACTTTTCAGAAAAGTTAATTTTTTATTGCTTTTTCAAACATTCAACGGTTAATTAATTAAGAAGTTATTAAGTAATTATTAAGGTATCTTAATTAATAAACATTTCTCCAATATTCACGCAATTAATTTTGATGTACAGTACTTTACATGGCGGGTAATTTTTTTGTCTATTTATTTATTTATATTTTGTATACATATTTGTCTGTTATTTTGTTTTCATCTTGATACACTCTTTACATAAAAGCAGCTTCATTCTTTTGAATAACTTACAGAAACCTCGTGAATATGATTCTGTACTTCTATCAGAAACCTTACTTTATACATCTGAGTATTTACTGCTTGGGCTTATTAATAGGATACGCTTTTTTGAAAAATAAACAATTCAAGCTGCAAAAGGTATGTTATAAACATGGCTTTGCATATTTCTAAACGTTAATTTTAAATATTCATTATTGTATAAAACATTGATTAAATAAAATAAATTTTAATTACACAATGTATTCTATGTAAGGAAAATGCTTACGTCATTGATTTTAGACAAAATTATAAAATTTATGTTATTTCTAACAGTAGATTTAATTTCTATAGTGATAGTGACGAAAATTTATTTTGACGTCCAAAATTTTTCTTAATTTCATGACTCGTTTCAGATTTTATTTTATACTAGCTGCAAGGACCGGCTTCGCTGGGCAAAAAGTAACGATAGTGAAGATTAAGATAATTACATTATATCTAATCTTACCCGTTTTCACAGAATGCAAGAATTAGGTCCCCCGTTTCCCGACTAAGTAGAGAATTTTTACGTTTAGTCAAACGAACTATTTTCAACGTTTCTGGAACGTTTACAATCGTTCTATAAATAACGTAACTAACACCTTATTGTTTGCTGAGGGAGTTTTATTAAAAACGAACGTTTTCGATCCACTTAACGGATCATCATCAGGCTAGAACATACGAAAATGGAATACATAATAAATGGAACAATAAGTTCAAAAATTCAAAAATATCAATAAACTGATAACAAATCAATTAATAAGAATAAAAAATAAATTTCAAACGATACCTAATAATAAAAAATATACTACAAAGACTAAACATTAATACGATCTATCATAGCTAAATAGAAGCTACTAAGTTTCCTTT